GTATCCTTGGAAAAGTCCTGTTTTCTTCTTCTCTCTGTGCCTTTGAGTTTCAGTTTACCCAGCTACAAAACGGGGTGCTTCAGTTATTTCTTTTTTTTTTCCTTTATTTTTTATCTCTCATGTTTATTATATATATATATGTATATATTTACATCATTGTTCTTTTTTTTTTTTTAAAGATTTATTTATTTATTTATACATGCACTGGGTACAGTCAGAAGCATGGGAGGGTAAGAGAATTCACCAGAGCCAGAGCGGGGAACAGAACAGGCAGACTGACGAAGTACACTGCTGAGGGGAGCAGCGGGAGGCAGGAGAGGTCTGTGCGCCATGTGGGACCCTCGCTGGCCGCTGGGGATCAAACCAGTGCTGCAGAGGCTGCGGGCAGCTTCGCAGCCCAGCGCTCAACCGCTGCGCCACCAGGGAGGCCCATCATTGTTCATTTTTAAACAATATTTGCTTCCCCCCCACCCCTCAGGTGTAGTCCCCATAGAGTTTCCTTCACCAATGCACCCATCCACCATCACCTCAGTCCCTTGTGCTCCTCCCTCCCTCTGATCGCTCTCCCTCCTCCTCCCCTTCAATATGTCTCTGATTTATAATTGTCCATTCTTGCTTTGTTGTGTTTTGTACTGTTATTATTTTTTTATTTCATAACATATTTTCAGAGCTCTGAGGAGGTTCACGCGTATTATAATATCTTCCTCTGGTAGGTCATGTTCTCAGAGAAACCAGAGATGGTTGCACCCCCAAGACATGTTTACAAGCAGAATGGGGAGGCTGTGTAATGAGGGCCACCACTCCTGCAGGTCACACGGATCAGCACGAGTACCCAGACCCCCACCTGAGCTCTGTTACAGGACTTTCCTGCTGAGGTCCGTGGCGGCCTCTGGGCTGCAGGGGAGCGGTGCCAGGCCTGGTCTTTAGTGGACTCGGCGTTAACACTCACACTGAAACCATGTTGAGGACACCCAAACCCAAGAGCTAAACAACCTCTGGGCCCAAAGGAATAGCTTTGTCTTTTCACAGAGAGCAAGGGCTGTCTGGGAACCCTGGGGGTCTCAGCAGCTGCCGTTGGTGAGAGGCTGCTGGGCTGTGGGGGGTCTGCTTTACACACCTGGCTTAGCCCAGAGCACGCTGTTGGTGTTAATGTTAGGGTGGTCACAGCCGCCACGGCCTTCCTGTTCCCTCAGGGTGCAAGGGCTCCCATGAAGTGCCAGGCCTGGTGTGAGTCCAGAGGCCACTCGCACAAGACACAGACTCTGCCTTCCGGAGCTCATGGGTCCACAGCAGGTCAGTTTGGTAAGTTTTCTGAGGGGAAAGTACAGGAGGCTGATGGAGCCCAGAGGAGGTGAAGATGCTCTGCATCCCGGCTTGCTGGGGTGAGGGTGTCGTGAGGAAAGTCTTCTAGAAAATCTGCAACTCCTAATGGAGTTGCTTCTGCCTCCCTTTCTCAGATGCAGAAACTGAGGCCCCAACAGATCCCAAGGCTGTTCTAACCCAGGCTACCTGACTCCAAAGCCCGAGTGCTTTAGCTTACAGTCCTCTGGGTTGGGTCCCTTCCTCCTGGTCCGTCCCTGAGGGGACTTTTGGGATCCCGGATAAAGGGTGAGCCCAGCAGGGGCCTGACCATGAAGGGTCTTTTTTTTTTTTTTTTTTAAGATTTATTTATTTATTAAATTTTATTTATTTATACAAGCACTGGGTACAGTCAGAAGCGCGGGAGGGTGAGAGAATTCACCAGAGTGGGGAGCAGAGCAGGCAGAAGGACCGAAGTACACTGCTGAGGGGAGCAGCGGGCGGCAGGAGAGGTCTGTGCGCCATGTGGGACCCTCCTCCGGTGGCCGGGGAGCAGCCGGGGATGGAACCAGCGCCACAGAGGCTGCGGGCAGCTTCGCAACCCAGGGCTCAACCACTGCGCCACCGGGGAGGCCCCATGAAGGGTCTTAAATGATAGGTGTGGGGGTGTGGGCTTGGTTTTGGGCAGTGGGCGGGGGCTTTAGGTGGGGAGCAGGTAGCAGAGGTGGCATGGCCTGGAAGGTCACAGAAGGACAGATTTGCTGAGAGAAGGAGCCTTAAATGTGTGGGAGCCCAAACAACCGCAGTCCTGCCTCCTACCCCAAGGGCCGAGGAAGGGTGTGCAGACGCTGAGGAGCAATGCCTCCGTACTGAGTTGTGGGTCTGGGAGGCCAGGAAACCTGGGGTTCCAGAAGGATCCCAATATCTAGCAGCTTCTACACAGGAGAGAGGCCTGAATTCATACCTGGGCCCAGAATGGGTGAGAGAATTGGGGGTGGAAGCAAGGGAAGAGGAGTTGTTTCTATTTCCCAGGGCACAGGGTTAGGTAGGGCAGGGCCCCGAGTGCTGAGCCTAGAGCCGTTTCCTCTTTCCCACAGTGTGGAGCTGCGTCACTCCTGCAAACCTCCCACCTGCTCCACCCCTATCTTGTGCCACCCCTGGCCAGGGCATTGTGGGCAAAAAAGGGAATGAAAGCCCACTCACTGTACCTTGGGTGGGGAAATACCAAAAACCACGTGAGCCAGAAACTGGGCTCTTTCAGGCCATAGTAGGTCCACACAGCCCCAACCCCAACACTAAACCAGATCCCAACTCAGGTTGAGCCTCACATTAACCCTAGATCCAGCCCCAGTCAGAAGGCCCCAAATAACACATTCCACTGCAGATTTAGCTCCAACCTCACGCCTACCAAGGAACCCTAACCTAATCCCAAACCAACCCCACGTCTGTTGCAATGGCCTCATCTATTCAATTAGAGCTGCGCCCCCAATTCTAAACCTAACCCTGGCACTCACTCCACCCCAACCTTGTTTCCATTCTACCCCTGCTCTTGCCCGAGCCCCAGCTCAATCTAACTCGAACTCCTGCCACTAATGCTACCAACCCACAACCCAAAGTTGATCTTAACCCAGCTCTCACCCTAACCCAGTTCAGCGCCACCTCATTCCAATCCCAGCCGCGGCTCTGGTCTCCGCAGCACTCCTCGTCAACGCCTGGCGCTTGCCCCGTTCCTTCTGCCCTTAAGTGTATCTGTAGCTTCGCCTTCAACCCAAACTCCATTCATAACACTGACATACCCCCAATTTAGCCCCAGTGCTTCCCTGGTGCTCACGCCCACCCGACCTCAGCTAGCAGAGGCCACCATGCGGACAGGACATGCAGACCTCAGTTTCACACATGCACACACACACACACGCACACAGGCACGCACGCACGCATGCACGCATGCAGGAAAGAAAAGGAGGTCCAGTCAAGCCTGGGAGGGCAGCGTCTTCTGCCTCTCTTGGGGTCAGGCCCCTTTGTAGTTCCCTCCTTCTCAGGCTGTGTTTCCTCCAACTCCACTCTGACTCTCTGACCCGGGACTCCCGTCCCTACTCCCTCCCTTGGCGCTGTCCTGCCTTCACCCAGGTGTGTTTGTAGATTGGAACAATGGAGCCCCCAAGGCTTTCATTCCTCCCAGAGTCCGGGGGCTGTGCTCACAACAGAGCACAACGAGCTCATACTGTCCTGCGCACAGTCCTCCTGGGAGTTGGTGTCTACAGGACAGAGACACACACAGTGACCCCATCCAGTGGGATCCCTCCCAGGGGAATGTGCCTGCTTCCACTGGAAGAGGTTATTTAGCTGGGGATGCAACAGGGGTTATTTGATCTGGGTCTGAAAGTTTGAGTAGGAGTTCACCGACTCACAGGGAAGGAAAAGCTTTCCAGGAAGATGGAACAACATGTTCAAAGGAAGGATGCGTGTTCAGGAAGGGCAGGGGAGGTGAACCTGGCCAGAAATTCGGGATTTGGGAGATGAGACTGGGCTAGTGGGGGGGTGGATCAGAAGGAGAGGGTACACCTGCGGTGGGCGTCACTGGCAGGCAGAAACAGCGAGACTGAGGAGCTGGAGGTTAGGTGAGCAGGGGAAAGGAGACTGGGAGGGGCAGGGGAGGAGCACACTGGAGGACAACCTGAGGCTGCAGGACAGGCAGGCAGGGCAGTGGCATCAGCACAGGAGGAGGGCAGCCTGGGTTCAGGTGGGCCCCAGGGCTACAACCAGGACCAGAAGCTGCTGCTGCTAAAAGTAATACTAACTGATCCTTCACTTTTGGTGCACCAGGTATGGAGCAAAGAATTATTATAAGCTCACTTAACCCACAAAATAACCTCACAAAGTCGTTATTATTATTGGTGCCCACAGAGGACACAGAGGGGAAATAATTTGCCCAAGTTGGCACACTCTGACATCAGGCAATAGGCAGGACTTGACAGCTCACAGGCCCGAGGAAAGTAATTTGAGTCCTTCCTTAAATTCATCATGGCCAAACCTTGTATCTGCTTAAGTCTGCAGACATTTCTCACCATTTGCAGCCTCTTCCCAACTACACCTCCCTCCCCCCACCTTTCAGGTTCAATGTTTCATTCCCCGGATCACCCTATGCCTCCCTCATCTCCTGCCTGTTCCAAAGGTAGCATCCTTTGCAAGAAATGGACTTTTATCTCCAGCCCCTTCTTTAAGAAGATCTCCGCTCAATCTCAAGACTCGTGCTGGCACTCCCCCTTTGGGAAGACTTCCTGAACTGCCCTGCCCTTGGGATGGTTGGGGGACCCCTTGTTGCACCCCCCTCCATCCTGGGTCACCCTGTAATGCCACTGTCCAGGGCCTTACTCCCTTATCAAGGATGACTAAATCTGCCTTCTGCCCCCTCACAGGCCAGCCCAGAGCAGTTGACCATGAGCCTGTGTGGCTGGTGAATACATGGCCCAATGTGGGTTAAAGTGGGTGCCAGGGAGGGGCCGGAGCTCTGCCAGCCCCCAAGGTTGCGCTCTTATCTGCCAGGGCGGTCTTGAGCCTTATCTGATGAAGCCTGAATTACAGTGACTTGATGAGATAGTGGCAAAGCCTCTTGGGTTACTCAGTAACCCTGCCCTCTTTAAAAGTCCCGCTGCCTCTCCTGGCACCCAGAGCCAGACACTCCTCTCCTGGGCACTGCCACCATGAACACCTTTCTGCTGTGCACTCTGTGCCTCCTGGGGGCCTGGGCTGCCCTGGTAGGAGGAGTCACTGTGCAGGTAAGTCTGCCCCTACCTGGCCAGCCAGCACACGCCCCAGGGCCCAGCCTCTGGTGCCAGATAGAGCATCCCTATTTGGAACTTGAATGGATGGCGGGTGAGGGCTCTCTAAGGCTTGGCTCTTCCTCAGGGATTTCCTTCTCTGTCCTGCCTTGGACACCTTCCCCTTCAAACTCCGAGGGCATAGGACACCAGGTAGAGAGAAAAATAATCCTCTGGGATAAGCAGGCGATCAGCCAGTTCACAGGGGCATGCTCCAGGCTTCTGCATTATCTCACTGCGGCGGAGAGCGCCCTGGGCTGAGGGGATCACTGGCCTTGTGTTCCCGAGGTGGAAACTGAGCCCCAGAGAGGTTCTGTAACTGGCAATGAGCATGTGGCTGGGAAGTGAGCCAGAGGGACTCAAATTCAGACCTTACTCCTCAGTCCTGAGCTCCCTGACCACCTGCCAGGACACAGGGAACAGCTGAACACCTGGGTCTCGCGACAGCCTGTGCGTGCGGGCGCAGATGCCAGTGAGAGGCACCCGCTGGGGGCCCCACGCTTTATCACAGCCAAGCCCTCGAGGCCTTTTATTGCTTCTCAAACATCAACCAGGCTGCCGACTGGAGATGGGGACCCGGTGATCAGCCGGTGCTGCTCCCCACAGGGTTAATGACAGCCTGCCTGGTCACGTGGAGCCCAGATGCCCGGGGCCTGGTCCCAGCTCTGGGACCCCCCAGAAAATCAGCGTGATGGCTCTCACCCACTGGGCACCTATTGTGTTCCCCCCTCCCCGACAACTGCCATCCGCGTTCTCCATTTCTTATGGAACGTGCAGAACACAAGCTTCCACGGTGCAGTGACCTGCTCGGGGTCACAGAGCAAAACCAGGACTCAAGCCCAGTGTCCCAGGGTATGTCCTGGGCTCTGGCCACCTCACGTTGCCCTGCAGTGAAGCATCTGGCTCCCACATGCTCCTGCTTGTGCACCCCCGAGGTGGAAGAGGGGGTTGGTCCCGGGGAAACAGCCGTGGAGCTGGCTGTGACCTGGCCTCACGCTCTTGACATGTGTCTCAGGATGGAAAGTTCTCCTTTCCTCTGGAATCTGTGAAGAAGCTCAAGGACCTCCAGGATCTCCCGGCGCCCAGCATGGAGAACCGCGGGACATTTGGCCGACCCATGGTTCCCCGCCTCTGTAGGAACCCCAACTTTCCCATAGAACTCAAGCCTATCTGCAAGGAGCCCAATGCCCACGAGATCCTCCAAAGGCTGGGTGAGCAGCCTCTTCTCTGACTGGGGTGCGCTGGCTCCGTGAAATCCTTCCTTGTGATTAGTTCTCAGGTGTAGTGGGTGAAGCCCATTTTGGTGAGATTCCTGCCCCGGGGGCGCTTTGTCTGCGCTGGGTGGGAGATACCGAAGCTCTGGTTCCAGAGCGGGAGGGAGCCCGGGGAGGGAAGCTGGCGCTCACGGGCCGTCTCTCCTGTCCAGAGGCCATCGCCGAGAACCCGAGCTCCTGTGAGATCTGCGCCTACGCGGCCTGTGCCGGCTGCTAGGACACAGCTGGGATTCCGCTGCCTTCAGCCCGCCCTGCTCCGGATGGGCCCCGTCGTCCTGCACAGCCCCCTGCCCTGATCCCAGGTGGAGGCGGGAGGAGAGAGCCGCCTGGGGAGGCCCAGCCCCGGCCCTTCCTAGCGGCTGGGCGCTCCGAAGACCCCCTCCAAAGCTCAGCTAATAAACCAGATTCCAGAGAGCTCCTCGGTGTGGCTTTCGTTCCTTCACCCATCTACCAACTCCCCCTCCGGCTTTATGGATGCCTGCCCCGCCCTCACGAGGTCAGGCCTAGTGTGCTCAGGCAAGGACCCCACTTTCCCTGCTAACTTACCACCCCTGGGGTGGCCACCACAACCAGCGCGGACGCACCCGAGTCTCCCCACCACTCGTGCGGTGTGAGTGGAACCTCAGCTTTTCTTTCTCAACTCTTGGGGACTTCAGAGTCAGTAAGTCCCATGTGGACCAGGAATCTGTCCAGCACAGACTTGACTGGCCCCGAGGCCAGCTCCAAGCTACGGAGTGTTGAGTGTCTTGGCACCTGGACGCTCTGACCACTCCTTCAGGGCCGCCGCCCCTCCCCCCCCTGACCTGCAGGACAGGCATGTAGAGGGGGCTCACCCGCAAGCATAGGAGTCCAATAAATGGTGAACACAAACCAACCAAAGGGGGGCCAGGGTCAAGCTGAGGATGGTTCCGACAGGGATGAGGAGGTGAGTGGTGGAGGGAGGCCTGTTAGCACAGGGGAGCAGGACAAATGCAATCAGGGTCCTTCTTGGGGGGTCGGTGGAAGGAAGTACCACAGTTGGATCCATGCAGAATTCCCTGGCCTTGGAATTCAGAGGGTGAGGTGTCTTCAGAACCCAGGCCAGGGAAGGCTTTGTGAAGGGGGGAGGAGGTGGGGAATTTCTTCAGGGTGTGTGGAATTTCCGAACCAACATGGAGGGTGGAGGCAGAGGGCTTCCAGAGGTGGGGCTGGTGCTGACACACACAGTAGGAAGGTCCAAGGCACTGGACAGCCTGGACAGGAGGAGGCCGGAGGCATCGGAGCTGGGTGTAAGGCCGACTGTGACATTTATAAGGCGTGTGCTCCAATGTGAGACTTGGCTTCCTCATCTGAGAATGGAGCAGGATGCATTCTGCTTCCCAGGGTTGCAGGGGCATTTGCTGGGCTCATACCCCCACTCTGGAGCCAAATCTGGGTGGGAATCCCCCTCTGCCTCTAGCCAGCTGGTGACTGGTGACGTGGGCAGGCCACACTGCCCATTCTGTGCTCAGTCTCCCCATCTGTGAAACGGGCATGACAAGAATCCCTACTTTCTAGGGTTTCACTTTAATGAGGTAACACAGAAAATCTCTTAGTGCTGCAGGGAGCCCGTGGAGAGCACAATGTTGACGCTGCGTTATCCTGACGTCTGTGGAGATGGCTCAGTCTCGTCCCTGGCACATAGTAGGTGCTCAGTCAGTAGCAGAGCCTTTTACTGCCTCTTCCCCAGGCCTGGGGAACCCATCACAGCTGAAGGGAATGTTGGGCAGCCAGGCCAGATGGTGCGTAGACTCTGTTTAGACTTGAGAGGGAGCACTGGGGAGCCACAGGAGGTAAGAGGGCTCCATCAGAGCACCCCATGTGTTCCTCTAGTGGGGGGAGTCTGGAGAGCCTGAGGAATGCAGGGCAGGGGGAAGCCTGGGCTGTTGGGGGTGGCGGGATAAGGGCTCACCTTGGGTGATGGTAGGAGTATGAGGAGTGGCCCAGGAGGCCTTGCAGAGGCCCACGGCTGCCCTGCCTATAGGAGGGAGAGGAAGGTACTGGAGTTCAGCCATGTGTGGCCTGGCGACTGCGAGACTGCAGGGCTCAGGAGTGGGGCTGGGCAGTCAGGAGGGGCAGCGGGTCTGGTGGATTCACCATGGCCTCAGTCCTGCATGAGCCGAGTTTAAAAGGCCCTTTGCTCCCAGCTCTTCTCCTTCGGGCTGCTTAGGGCAGAGGCTGGGGAGGAGCCCAGCCTCCGGAATTCCCGGGAATACCAGCACAGCCCCGGGCCTTGACTGAGGGCACTGAAGGCCACTGTAAGAGCGATGGGCCGCATGGGGCCCTCTGTAGGTGTCACCAGCCTCAGCCGGGCTCACGGGCAGGTAGTAACACGGCAGCCCAGAGCACACAGACTGGCTCAGCCTTCCGGGAAGACGCCTGCTTTGCCACTTTGCTGAGCCTGTGACTCTGGTTCTCTCTGCCTGGTTCTCCTTGCTGGTGCCCGGAGAGGGTGACACACAGCATCTGCCTGTCGGGCTGTGGTGAGGGTTCGTGTGAGCTCACACGTGCACAGGGTTAGAACGGCGCCCAGGGCACAGCAACTGCACAATGGTTGGCTCTAACCATTTCTAATAGTCCTCAGGGCCGCTGAGATGGAGAGTGAGAGGAAGGGGCCACAGGTCCTGGCCACCAGGCCCCGGGGAACCCAAGAAGGGAGGAGCTCAGGAAGGCAAGGGAGGAGGCCAAGGGCCAACTTCTTGGGAGCCCTGGGGAGATTCCGCTTTGATTGTGGGCCTAGGGTGGGGTGCCCTGTGCTTCCTGCTCCCCGTCCCACCTCCTGGAGGGCGCTCCTCCCTCGCCTCCCTAGCCCTCAGCACAGAGGCTCTGACTGGGCAGCTCAGCTGGGCTTTGAGCTTGGCTCAGGGTCGAATGGTCAGAGTTGCCCTGTGGCTTCTTAGGGCTGTGCTCTCTGGCGCCTCATTTCCACTCAGACCTTCGCCCCCTCCTAGAGCAAAAGGGACTTAACAAATCAACTCCTCACCTTAGTCTTCGTCCAACCCTGCTCCTCAACCCACCCAGCTCCCCAAGAAGTTCCGCCCATGGCTGCTGGGGATGAACAAAAGGGCTCCTGACTATGTCAGTACAGAAACTTTATTCAGCAACAGGCCTGCCCTGGGGGCCAAACTCTTCTACATCTGTGTGTCCAGTTGCTTTGTGGCGGACCCAGCGGCTCTGCGGGAAAGGATGCTGATGACCTTGGTGGCCAGGAGTCCTGGCGGAGCTTGCGTGGGGTGGGGGCTGTGAAGGCAGCGGACTGGGGAGGGAGGCAAGGTGTCCATAGTGGGCCCAGGGCGCGCACGACCATCTCAGAGGCAACCGGTACAGGCGACATTCACACACAGCTCGCAGTCGTCGTTAGCGATGTCCCCTGGGTAGGGGAGAAAGTGGTCAGATGAACCTGAACTTGAAACATCTGTGGTCCAGGGGGCTGCTGTCCGGGCAGCCAGGAAACGCCTGCCAAGCAAGGGCCTGAGGAAGGCCCTGGTGTCTTTCTCACAGATTGCAAACAAGAGACTTTAGAGGCTGAGTGAGTGGCTTGGGTGGAGGCCCCAGGTCCCCTCTTTCTAGCGGTGCCTGGAAAGTCACTTTTACTCTCTGAGTTTTCTTGTCTGTAGAATGAGGGGATCAGCCTGATCGGGTTGTGAGGACAGATGCAGGCAAAGGGACTGACACAGGGCCTGGCCCTTAGTAGCTGCTCAATAAACGCTAGCTAGTGGCTGCCTTCTCTTGGCCAGATGTTTCATCCCTCCCTGTCGCTCCCCTCTCGCAGGCCTTTCGGATCCTGTATGCCACCCAGGTGTGAGCCATCTCCCTGTCCCTGCCGGGCTTTCCCCGTCTCACTGTGTTGTGACATGCTCGAGGGGCCTCTGCCTCAGGGCTCCCTTCCCTCCCAGCTAGGGAGTCTGGGAAGCAGCATGAGCAGCTGGCCCCAGGTGCCTGGGACTGAGGGGGTTCCCAGCCTGCTGAGCACTCAGTGCCCAAACCAGGACCCAGGGGCTGGGTTTCTTGAATCTCCCTGTTCTGGGCCTTTGGATGCTTAATAGGACCCGCGTGACGCAGTGGAGAGACAGGACGATAGGCAGGATGTACCACGGGGGCAGGGCACTCACTCAAGGCCTGGAAGATGCTGCCTGCTTCCTGGGAGCTGCAGATGGGCTGGAGGTCCAGCGGCAGGGCCGGATGGTGGCACACATAGGGGAGGACGCTCTGGGCCTGCAGGCGGGGACTGGGCACTGACTTCTCCTCCAGGCTACTCAGCTTCTTCACTGATTCCAGCTGGACCTGGAAACCTTGGTACTGGGGACCAGAGGGAAAAGAAACATGAAGACATCAATCCTTTCTAGGGGGGTGGGCCCTGCCAGGAGACCAGGGTCCACACACAGCAGAGCCTTTCCTGTGCTCACGGCAAGTCCAGGCTGCACTGGAAGGACAGACTGGGAGTGGGAGGTGGCGCCTGACACTTCACACCCACTGCAGCGCTGAGCCCAGGGACTGGAAGATGAGGTTGCCCAGGCTATGGAGCAGCGCTTCAAGGCATAGGCTCTGGAGGGAGACCTACAGATCCTTGGTTCAGATCCCAGACCTTCCTAACCAGCTGCCTGTCTCGCTCCCTCTGAGCCTCATTTCACAAATGGAGATGATTCTGCATCCTTCCTCCTAGGTGCCTGGTACCCAGGGCACCCACTTTGCCTCCAGGGAGATCTCTGAGCTGATATGACAAAATGTGGCCACCCTGAAGCTGGCCGGACTTGAAGACCAGGACTGCAGGGAGAGGCCGGCTGCCTAGCATCCCTCCCGTTCTTAAGGAGGCCCAGAGTCAGGAATGTGACACCCAGGACCACTGTGGCATCCTGCCACATCCCAGGTAGACACCTTCCCGCTTCATAGGCACCAGAAAGGATCCCTGGAGCCCCTGCCGTCTTCTCCCTGAGCCTTTGCATCCGCCATGCCCTCCGCCTGCAGCAGCCTGCCTCTTCCCGCTCGTGACGGAATGTCAGGTCAAGAGTCACTCGCCAGGGACAATTTTTCTGGTGACCATCCTCACTCCATCCCTCCACAGAGGAAAGTACAGCAGTGGGAGCTTCGAAGGGGTCCCCCCCCCCCGAGCTGGGCTTCTCCAGGGCAGGGGCCATGTTTCGTTCCACACTCTGACCTCTGACCAGGACCGACCTTTGAGAGCAATGCTGAATAACAGCATTTTATTATCGTCACCATCATCATCACCATCAGCATTCCAGCTGCCCCCACCCACCAGCTGTCTTGGTTCCAAGCGGTGAGTGAGTGTGGGCTCAGCCCTGGGCCTCGTGTGCTCCTGTTTCCCATGAAGGCCCTAACGTCCCCTTTCCATCCCAGTCTCCCGCTGTGGGGACATCCAGGCTAGGGGCAGGCTGGCCAGAGGGACTCACCTGGATGTAGACTGACTGTGTGCTGGGCAGCAGCACCAGGACGACCACAGCCACCCTGGACAGGAGCCCTGACACCGAGCTGCCACCCATTTCGCTTTCTCTGTGTCCCTCCCCTGCCGACTACCTGCTCCCACCAGCCCCTCTGGCCAGCGGCTCCTTATAGCCTGGCTCCGGGACCCTGTCACTCATTAACTGTCCGGCTGGGGTGGGGCTGACACAGGTTGGCTCTCTGACAAGCCCAGAGCCCAATTCCCAGAGGAGTTTGGGGGGCAGGGCAGGGAGGCTCAGAGCACGTGGGAACATTGATAGATTGTGGAGCACCTGCAGTGTGCAGGCTCTGAGGGAGGGCCCTTCCTTCACTCCCCAAGACGCCACTTGAGTGGAATGAGGGGAAGACCATTTTACAGATGGGGAAAGTGAGGCTTTAGAGGTAAAGCGTCTTACCCATGGGCACCGCGAGAGTCAATGACAGCAGAAACTCAGCCCTTTGGACCCGTGTCAGCACATGAATCTCTCTGGGTGAAACACAGGCTGGCCCAGGGCAGATACAAATCTCACCCCAGCACTCCGCATGTCCCTAAACCCATGTCTTTCCCCACTACCTGTTCCATCCCCTCTTCTATTCAAGGAACATCCTATTGAACAGTCCCTGCCCAGGCCGTCAACCTGCCTTTGCTCGCCTGGGCACCCTCAGGCCATGTTTGATCCATCATACCCATCTCAACTGTCAGTCTTCTAGAAGCCAAACGAAGCATAGAGGAAAGAACATTGGCTTTGGAGACAGATTGCCTTGGGTTCAAATCCCTGTCAAGTCACATCAACTCTGCTGGGCTCAGTTTCCTTTTCCATTAAATGGGCATGTGATGGAGCCCTCTGTGGGTGGTTGTTATGAGAGGGATGGAGCCAGGGCTGCCCAAGCGCACCCTCACCACCTGGGTAACTCAGGCCATAATGGAGACCTAAGCTCACAGTTGCCTTTTAGGCAATGCACAACCCGCCACCTCCATGGTTGAAGGTTGGGTCAGGCAGAAGAGGGCAAAATCCACAGAGTGTTATCACCAGGTAGCCATAAAAAATGCCTGTGCCAGGGCTTGGCTATTTTGGGCATGGAGCATGGCAAGTGGTAAGCACCTTACGCATAACACTGAACTGAAGCCCAGACAGCCCATCTAAGTACATTGGGCCGACTCTCAACCCGTGGCTAAAATCTAATGCCATTGAGCTCCCAGGACCAACCCCACTGGCACTTGCCTAATCCCACATCACGCTTTTGCAGATGCATTCCACTTGCCCAAATGCCCACCTCCCCGTTTCTTATCTTGCATTGAAATGGAAAAAAGCTTGAATGAACTTTGATATTTTTTATGTCTTGCTTTGAATCCAGACTTCAGCCTTTATTCTTTAGAGTATGAAGACATTAATGGACTCTTACGTACTACTTTGCCTGCAAAGAAAAGGATCATCATAATAACAGCTCTCGTTTGTTGGACATGCACTGCGTGTGACATGTGATGCTGTTTCATGGGCTTCTGTCCATCTGGTCCTATAGGATAGATGTGATGGTGGCTCTATTTTATGGATGAGTAATCCAAAGCCCAACGAGGCTCTGTGCCACTAAGAAGGGAGAAAAATTTTTATCTTGGGATTCTTGCCTCTGCTCGATGTATGGAATTATAGAAGAAGGAACAAGATTTCAGAGGTAAGATCTGGGTTCAAACCCAGATTCCAGCTTCTCAGCTGCGTGATCTTGGGTACATTACTTTACTTCTCCTACCCTATGTTTCTTTATCAGTAATTGGAGAAAATAATGAACAACCTCATAGTAGCCACTGTGAGGACACCACCAAACAATCCTGTCTCAGAGGAGCCCCTGACTCTACCTTTCCCCAGTGTAGACCTGTCCTGTGGGGGCCAGGCAGTGGGTGCTTTTCCTGCCTCTCCTCTAAGATCTTCTCCTCAAAGGCCCCCAACAAGCCCCATCTCTGAACCTATACCTGGAAGAGCGGTGACCTTAGACTTGTGGCATCTAAACCCCAGTGCTGTGCCATCTCTTTTCTTTCCAGAACTGGGCTTGACCAACTATATGGCTTTGGGAGAGTGACCCACCTCTGTGACCTCAGGTTGTCATTTGTAAAAGGTGACCAGTATACAGCTGTGGGGGTGTCATGAGGTCTTTCCCCACCAGCGCTAGCTCAGTCCCATTGGTGCTACAAGAAATAAGAAGCACACCCATAGGATTTGGAGACCCCTGTGGCCATGATCTCTTGCTCTCCTCTACCTTCTTGTCCCTCCAGTGGGTGTCCATAAAGTATAATTCTTCCCCTGGGAACAAGGTGTGGCTTCTTTATCTGCCTGACATGATTCAACTCCATATTTCCACCCAGCTCCTCCTAATCTCTTCGTGAATGACCCCCCATCCATCAAAACCAACTCGACATAGGTGCAAATCCTTGTTGCCACCCCCACTCAGCTGGGGTGGCATCAAAATGTGGACATTTTAAGGTCACTTCCTGCTTTAAGGACACGGAAAATAACTGTCAAGCCAATCTGGACTCTGGTTTCTGGGTGGAAGCCTCGAACATGGAGAGCAGTGTGGGTGACTGTTGGCCCACGTGTATTTGGGCTGCTCTCCTCTCCACAATGTATTCCCTGCCCAGTGCCTATCCATAGCACCCCACAGCCCAGGACTCTCCCTGCCCCAAAATTGACCCTTTTCCCAGTAGCCCTTGTTACAGTTGACCATCCCATCTTTGTTGGGATAGACTAATTTCTTTTTTTTTCTTCAAAGATTTGTTTATTTATGCATACAAGAGCTGGGGTACAGGCTAGAGGTGCGGGGGATGAGAGGATTCACCAGAGACAGAGGAACAGAACAGGCAGATTGACAAAAGTACACTGCTGGGGGGAGCAGTGGGCATGTCAGGAGAGGTCTGCCTCACCATGTGGGTTGCTCCCTTGCTGGGAATCAAACTTGTGCTGCAGTGGCAGCAGATAGCTTCATAGGTTGCGTCTTAACCCTTGTACCACCAGGGAGGCCCGGAATAAACTAATTTCTTCACTTGACTTCTAGGACACATGCTGTCCAGGTTTTCTCACAACCTCATTGCCTTGCCTCATTTTCTCAGTTTCTTTTGTTGGTTTTTCCTTGGCTTTCTTTAGCTCTTAGAATGCCTCAGGGGCTCCAGGACTCGGGCTTGGACTGCTTTCTTCTGTCTATGGTTACCCATTGGTGATCTTATCCAGTCTCAAGGAATTCAGTGCCCTCAGCATCCTGTTGACTCCCTAGCCTGACCTCCCACCTGTGTTCCGGACTCTTATCTACCTTCTCATCTTCTCCCTTAACAGTTGCTGGTACTAGTGCTCACGCAGTCGTTCAGGCCAAAAATCTGGGAGTCATCCTCAATACCTCTCTTTCATTTGCCACATTAAATTCATTAGCAAATTCAGTTGACTTACCTTTGAAATCTTATGAGACTCTATGTCTCAACATCACTATTGCTACCCCCAAGGTCCAAGCTATCATCATTGACCATTGTTTTCGTGGATACATGCAACAGCCTTGTAATCATCAGGATTCTCCAGAGAAATAGAAAGAACAGGGTAAATATCCATCCATCCATCCATCCATCCATCCATCCATCCATCCATCCATCCATTTTATGTTATCATCGTATCTATATTTATTTATTTTTAAAATTTTAAAAGATCTATTTGTTTATGCATACAAGATCTGGGGTACAGGCCAGAGGCATGGGGGAGGGGGGTGAGGTGAGAGGATTCACTCGATTCAGAGTGGGGAACAGAACAGGCAGATTGACCAAAGTACATTGCTGAGGGGAGCAGCAGGTGAGTCAGGAGAGGTCTGCTGTGCCATGTGGATTGCTCCCTGGCCAGCTGGGGATCTAACTCGTGCTGCAGAGGCTACGGATAGCTTCATAGGTTACATCTTAACCCCTAGTGCCACCAGGGAGGACCCTTATCTATATTTATTTTGAGGAATTTGCTTATTTGTTGTTGGGGTTGGCAAATCTGAAATCTGCACGGTATGTTGGCAGGCTGGAAATTCAGATAAGAGGTGATATTGCAGTTTGAGTCTGAAATTGTAGAACAAGCTAACAGGTAGGACACTTAGCAGGACTTCTATGCTGCAATCTTGAGGCAGACTTTGTTCTTCTGGAAGCCTTAGGTTTTGCTCTTAAGGCCTTCAACTGATTGGATGAAATTCATACATGTCATTCACTTGAAGTCTACTAATGATAAATTCTCATCACATCTTAAACAAATTATTGTCACAGCGACATCTAGACTGACATTTGATCAAATAACTGGGTACCACAGCCTGACCAAGAGAGATCTCCAAACTGATCTCTCTGTATCTGTTCTTCCACACAGCAAATAGAGACATCCTATTAAAATCTAACTCAAATAAAAATCTAAGTGAGGTCTGCTCAAAACGAATGACTTACCAGTTAATTCAGGGTAAAATCCAAAGTCTTAAACTCTGCCCTTCACTATGCTTCCCTGACAGACACGTTTCCTTGCTATCACCCAAACATGCTAAAGATTGCCTGCTTCAGGGTCTTTGCTTGTCACCCATTGTTTCTATGGCTCACCCCCTCCCTTCATCCAGATTGTTGCTCGAAAGCCACTTCCCAAAGACATTCCCAACCATCCTACCTCAGAGAAATTTCCTTATCACTCTTTATTCCCTTGTTTTCCTATGGCACCTCTTAATCTATATGCATTTCATTTCGTGTGTTTTTGTTCCTAGTAGGATGTGAGCTCCCTTAGAGTTAGGAAATTGTCTATTGTGTGGTCCTGAAACAACACCTGGCACAAATTGGTGCTAAACAAATATTTGATGAATTGAATAAATAATTATGATCCAACTACTATGATCCAACTACCTACCCCATCGACCCCTAGATGTTTGGTTTTAGACAATTTTCTACTGCTCTGAGCTTCACTCATCTCACCTAGAATCTTCCCACATGTAAGGGGACTGGCACATGGCAGGTGATCAAAAAATGTTATTGTTGACATACAAAAATCCATAGCTTTTATATACAAACAAGAAGCAAAAGAAATTA